AGCTGGTGATGGCAGTATTCTTAGTTTGACAATTTCTTCACGGGCTGCATGAGATCATTCATGGGTGTAAGGGAACTGCCTGTGAAGAAGAATGCTGTTCTTCCAAATTTTGAGACAAAGACAGCTTTTACACAAGGCAGAGATGGCCCTCTTTTCTAGGTCATGATTAGGCCTGCTTTTTTCCTTTAACATTTTTTTTAATGCAACAAGTTTTGCTTGGGGCTATGGTTTTGAATTAATATGTGTAGGCAAAGAAGTATTTTTTTTAATTGCTTTATTTTTTGTATGATCTATTAGGAGCAAACTCTTGGAATTCAGCTTCATGACTTGAGAGACTCAGTTTTTTGTTGTTGTTGTTTTTGAGTTTTTTTGAGAATCAATTTAATGCTGAGATCACAAATGATAAAAATACATAGAAATCTCCTGGCTGTGCTCATTGCAGTCTCTTTGAGTCAGATCCATTATGTCTATTCACTGAATGACTCAGTGGTCACCTTTTTATCCTTTGGGAAGTAGAATCTCAGATATCTGCAAGATAGCCACCATGACGTGAGTTGTTGGATATAGAAATTTCTACTTCCTTAATCTCAATTTTTTATTTTATAATTTTTTTCCCTATGTTACGAAGACTTTTACCTCGCTAGAAAAAGTCAGCTAGCTTTGCAGTGCACAATCCCTAGAGAAAGTGCCAGATAAGATCTTGCAAAGCAAAAAGGGGGCTGCTTCCTTTCCTAGGAAATCCAGGACTCTGCCTTCTCTGAGGAATTTGTCTGTGATAAGGGAAGGCTTTTATGTGTCAATGTCTGCTGTTTTGGGAGCAGGACTGGATTGAAAAAGAGTAGAGGAACTCGTCCCTGCAAGGTCTCGGGAGCAAGTAGGTCCCTTCTCTATGGCAACTCACTGAAATACTCCATTTGACATTTCAGTGCAGGCCTTCTGGGGACAGAAAGACAGACAAATCCAAAATAATGGTACCTCCAGCCACCTTCTGCTAAGATGCTGTTGTACTTGCGTAAACAGGAAGTTTGATGGACATACAGGACTGAGAATCCATATTTCTACCTCCTGGGAGAGATGGGGTAGCATTGTTATAGCCACCTGATACTTGAAACACATGGATGATAGACATTTAGTAGACCCTGTATTTAGAAACTGTTTGAGTCAAAATCATCATAATAAAAAATTTTTAAAGAAAAAGATGTGTTTTGCCCTTTTGTGTTAAATCTGCCATTGGTGTTTGAAGATGCACAAAGAATTCTGTTTGTGGGAATTTGGAAAGGGCAAATGTTGATGTATACACTAAAAAATTAAGACAAATGATAATTGAAAGAGATGGTAAAAGCTAGTGGTTTCCATGGGGAAATAATCATGAATTGCTGTCAGACAGATTCCAACAAGAAGAGTGCTTTATGTGAAATGTTTTTTAAACAGCTCAACCAAAGCATCAAGCGAGAGCATCCATTTGTCGTATGTTTCTATTAGATCCCCATCTGAGACTCCTCAACTTACAGTATTCACCAGTCCAGCTGCTGTGTTTGGCTTTTTTGTGATCAACATTCAGCTGGAGCCAAGGAATATCAGATAGCAAAAAAGATAGTGTTTGTGGATCCTTAAGGTAATTTTATTGTTTCACCATATTGATTCTTCAGATGGATTCAGAGTTATTGATCTGTGAATTTACTTTTGTGTGTAAGCCTTGTTAAATGCTGCTATTGTACTTAAGGCATCCCTTTAATGGTGCTAGAAAGAACTTTGACTTTTGAGCTTCGAAGTAGTGAAGACTATTTCCCATGGACTATATTTGTAAATTTTTTGGCATTTATTATAGAAAGATCCTCAGGTGCTCAATTTCTTTGTGCCCCCTATTGTACCTTATAGAGGTTTCTGTCAGAGCCCCTGATCACTTCATTGCGTTTATTGGCTGACACAGCCATGTTCTATATTAAATCATAACACAGAGCCTGGCCTAAGGCACAAATTCCTGCTGAATGAATGAATGACTCCTTGGTCAAACTTTACCTCCTCTTTCCAAAGAAAGCTGCCCAGGAGATCTTCTATTTGCCCAACCAGGTCCGATCTCCACCCTGCTCCTCCTTCTCTAACCTTGGGAAGATGACTGCATGAGCCAACCACAGCCTCCCTCTGGTCTGTGTTCCCTTTGGGTTTGGCCAGCAGAAGGCAGGAGGCAGGGGATTGGCAGGTGAGATAGAGCACAGTCTGTATGGACTGGCTGTGTTCCTTTGTGAAAGGCTCTTTCCGTATTGTTCTCCCTAGGGCAGGTAAAGGCTCTCTGGGTTACCAGCCACAGGTATAGCATTATTCTTTCTTGGTTTCCTTAACCCTGCCCACCCCTTTGTAAGTAGTCTCTTTGTGAAATTCTCCCCAATTAGCCAGTTCACAGGTCTCCAGTACCCTGCTGGGACTCTGATATTTGCCCAACTCACCCAGATGAAAAAGTTGGTTTAATATAAGTATCACAGTCAATCTCCCTTGCATTATTTCAAATAAATGCTCTTTCCTAGGCCAGCCAACCTCCAAATTAGAATCAACTGGAGCAGGGGTCAGCAAACTACAGCTCGCAGGCCAAATCCAGTCTGCGGCCTGTTTTTATAAATGGAGCTTTATTGGAACACAGCCACGACCATTTGTTTACTTACTGTCTGTGGCTGCGTTTGAGCTATGACAGGGGATGAGGGGTTGCAACAGAATCCGTATGGCCTGCAAAGTTTAAAATATTTGCTATTTGACCCATGATAGAAAAAAAGTTTGTTGACCCCTGATTTAGAGAAAAACCAGACATGTGAACTCCATCATTTCCATCAAGAGGCTCCTGGGCCAGATGCTAGGGGCATTTGTGAGTGGCCCCATGACAGTGCGTGGGAGGCTTTTAGACCCCACTCTTACAGGCCTGTGGAGCATTGTGTTGCTGTGACAACTGCTGTGGCCCTCTGGGTAGAATGTGACCAAGAAAAAATGAGGAGGCATTTGTGTTTAAATGTATTTATAATTTGTGATTTCAGAAGTCTAGAGTTTCCTGAATAGAATGACTCTCCTGAATATTTTCAAATTTCCTTATTGAAATTCTTTTGTACATATCTGACTCCCCCTCCTAACTGGGGTGCCTTTTTTTAAGGGTCCAGGTTTTATTCAGACCTGTATTTACCAGTGCCTGGCACAAAATGGCTGATGCTCAATAAATATTGTTTGAGATTGGTAATCAACATCTAATTCAGAGAAGGAAAGAAGAACGAAGGGGCTGGAACACAAGATACTCTGCCAAGACATTAGCTCTTGCTCTCTCTGACCCCAGTCTCTGCCTCTTCAACCTTCAGAGGGCCAGAAAAGATAAAAGACAAGGCTCTCCTCCCAGTAAAGCTACCCCTTGGAGCAGAGTGGCTATATAATTTGTGGAGCCCAATGTAAAAGGAGAAAGCGGGGCCTCTTGTTCAAAAATTATGAAGAATTTTAGGGCAGCATCAGCAGAGAGATAAACCAAGCACGGCGCTCCTGTGCCTGCACAGGGACCCGCCTATGAGGTCAGTCCTGCCTGTGGATCCCTGAGAAAAAGGCAGCCTGCAGGAGGCCAGGGAGGCTCTTTGGATCTAGAGCATGGTGCTTAGCCATGACAAAGGGCGCATAGGCCGAGAGGTCACAAAGGTTGTGGGCTCTGGGACTCTGTGATGACATGTGTCTAATGCTGCCTAACCTGGGCAACACTTCATCATTTCCAGAATGTTTGCAAGTATCTTGGACCCTCACATGGAAGAGGATTTCTCTTCCCTGAGCCCAGACACCTGGCTTCACACTGATGAACCTGCTCGCTCCTCCCTGACTTCTTGTTTTTAATTTAACCTCAAGTCACCTAGGCCACCCCCTTCATGGGCCACCAACCACATTTGTACTGACAGGCTGTGCAGACGTTTCTTTTTTGGGTACAGGCAGTTGCTGTCACAACACCCACCCAGAGGACAATGTGTATATGTGAGTGTTCCCCTTATCTTGTCCCCAGAACCCTCCCGTGCCCCTCCTCATCATAAAGGAGGTTTAAGTGGCCACTCTGCAGGAACCCCAGTGCCATGACCCCTGAAGATGTCCCTGATGCTGGACATTCATCCTGCCAGCTGCTGGAGCTTCTCCTGACCCCACAACCCTGCCCTGCCCTGCAGGTTGAACCCTCCCATCCCTTGGAATCACAGTGAGCCTCCTGGAGGTCTCCAGGTGGTGACAACTACAGGTGAGGAGCTTCAGGCTCTGTCTAGCAAGGACATCATCACCTGTGTGTCCTATTGACTGGAGGAGTTCCCACTTTTGTGGGAACTAAACCACTGCCACCCACCCCTGTCCTTCATCTACCTATCCTTGGTACAAAAGGGGGCCCTAGGGCTCATCCCAAACTACCAATTGTGGGAGAGCACCTTGTATTCTTTGCTAAAAGGTGAGGGCCCCATCATAGTACTAGAAAGCCAAAATTCTGGTCCTGGTGGGGACAGCTCCTGGGTTCTCACCCCCATGTGCATGAGCTCAGCCACTAGGTGGCGTCACCCCATCTCCCTGGGCTGAGGAAAATGACCAAGTGCCTGAGTGTTGGTTCCCCACAAAGATGAGATTCTAGCCTTAGGGTACCGCCAACACAAAAAACTAGCCCTTAGGGAGCTCTAAACTTAGGTAACCATAGTAGATTGGGGATTTTTTCTTCCAAATGGGGATTGGCATCAGATAACATAAAGTCACAGTTAAGGGACAAGTGGAGTTTGCTTTTTATCAGAAGCTCAGACAATCCCCGAGCTCTTGCAGTCTTCTGCTTACCTTTGGTACTGGGCTTTCTCAGGCTTCATTTGTCTCCTTGTGACTGATGTGGCCTTAATGGCAGCAGCTACAGATGACCCCCCTGCTGCCTCCGTGCACACGTGCTTGTTATGACAGCCTGATCATATCTGGTACTCTTCCCCACCCCGCCATGCTCCTCATTCCTTACACACTATGTTCTCTGTCTCTCACAGGGTCCCCGGTGGCATATAGAGCTCCAGCCTTGGGCAGGCCCTGCTCAGTCCCTGGATGAAGAAGCCTTGAGGTTCCTGCAATACATCAGCACCACCCAGGTTGTGTTTGAGGCTCAAATATTGATCGCCCCTTTGAAACCTAAGTTCCTGATGGGTAGGGAGGTTCTGAGTGACTCCTGATAGGGACTTGACAGGGACCTGATTTCTGAGGTGTTGCTGCTTAAATGTATCCACTCTCTTGGAGGAAGATGAGGTGCCTTCCATTTGCTCGGGCTTCTTCTTTCCTCCAGGAGTCTCATCAACCTGAAATGTTCTAATGATTCATCCCAAAGTGTTTTAAAGATCCACTTTAGAAAATTGCTTTGGAAAACCATTTGAAGTGACAGATTCGTCCCTGTGAGTAGGCAGTCATGTGTGTCACAAAACAACACCATCATCTGGAGGCTCAAGCTCCGGTTTGCCTTTGGAAGCATTTGCCTTTTCACTTCTCTGCCACAGATGCCTGGCAGCCAGGGATGAAGTAGGCAAGACAGCAGAGGAGTCTTTGAGGCAGAAGGATGAGAAGTTAATGAATCCAAAGTCTCCCTCTCCTCGGAGCACTTTAAATCATTACTGAGTAACAGCCTTTATTAGTGACTTAACACACAGTGGCAGCTCCGGCCTAGCTCCAGGCTGAGTCAGTGCCCCGAGCAGGCGAAAAGACTGTCCATTAAGGGGAGTCTATGGCTCTTGACACGTTAATCAGGAGGTTTCCGTTCTCAAGTTGCCTGATCCTGGGAAAAAAGGCAGATATAAGAGGAGATCTAGGCCCAAGAGACACTTAGCCCTGAACTATGAAGTGCTAGTAATTTAAGAACCCTGACTGCCAGGGAGCTGAGCACAGGGGGACTTCCCGAGGGTCTGGAGGTGGCCTGGGCCTGGGGATCCTGGATTCTTTTTCTTTCCTTCATCCCACTGGCTCTTGGCACATTTCTCCTCCTCCTGAACCTCATTATCAGTAAAGCTTTTTTTTTTTTCATCTGTGGGAAGCAATATATTTCTTGGTCTTTGAGATGCTGGTTTAGGGATAAAATAAAGTCCTGTTTCTCATATGATGCAGTTAGACAATCATAGAGATTTTAATACCTGTCACCCAAACATGGAATTAGAAGCTTGTGGAATTAATTGTGGATGATGGAATGATGAATTAGTCCCCGTGCTTTACATAATTTCATCTTATTTTGCTGCTGCAAGTTAATTGGGTGGACTTATGCAGACTTAATTAAAATACTGAAATTTTAATTTTACACTTTGGCTTTACATGAAAGATAGGAAGCTAGACTTCTTAATGATGACTTTAAAAGGCTCTTAAAGGCCTCAGAGAAAAAGGAGAGGTGTTAAGTTTATAAATTGAATTTGAGAACGATGGGATTCACCCTCCAAAATTAATTTACTGAGTGTAAGACTCCAAATTCCCTTTTTAAGGCATCTTAACTAACTTATACAAGGCATATTTACTTAGAAGATGATCTTGAGGCATGCCATGGTCATTTCAGATTCCTCTCATGAGCCATGGTCTGAAAGAGGAAAAATTCTGGGTGGGTGGGGGGAAGACAAGAAAAAAAAAAAAAGCAGTAATGTCCTCTGATGTGATGTAGTCTGATGCTGGAACCCTGGGCAATTTCCTTTTCCTTTGATTTTCGGGCTTGAAAAAAAATAGAGATTGGATTAAATTGGTTCTAATGTCTCTCCCAGTTCTGTGATCTTGTGCAGAGATCTTGTGTCCTGTGCAGAGAAAATAGGATTGTCATGAAGCAAGGGTCTCTGAATACTTGCAACATGTTAGGAACTGCATTAGGCCCTGGGAATATAATCTCTGCCCTCAAGGAGCTAACAAATGAATTGTGAAGGCAGATAAATGAGTGCATACTTATTATTCAGTTCGATGAGTGCAATAAGAGAGACTTGTCTGCTGACGCTGTAAGGAAGAGCTAGATCTCCTCCACCCACATGCACTCTGGTTCCCACATGCACTCTGGCTGGTTCTAGGATCCCGATTAATATAGGAGCTGATGAATAAGAGAAAAGCATAAAAGTTTTATTAAATTTACATGTACACGGGGATCTTCATAATAGAAGATCCCCCAAAATGACCAAAGCATGATGCTTTTTTCTTTAAGACAAAGAACAATAAACTTGTGAAGGAATGACAGGATAAATGGATATCTGGAATAGGGCAGTAGTTTCTCAAGATGCTTCCAAAAGAGGTAGTGATGGTAGATGCAAAAGCTGGTGGAAGATAGGGATTACCTTAAATAGTTTGTTTATTCCTTTACATTGCAGTCCCAATTACTAGCCTCTGGTGATCAAGACTCTTTTCTGGCCATGGTATGGAAAAGACATCTTTTCCCAAAGAATCTTTATATCTTGCTGCATGTAGGAAAAACAGTCCAAATGCTCCTTGCTGAAGTTACAGTTACTTAAATGATTTCAGCTTGGAGTAATCAATATACCAGCTGGGCATATTTTGAAATAGCATGTCCTGAACTTATTCAAAGTTCACTAGAAGGATTTTTATCCTCTAGAAAGAATGAGATAAGATTCTAGACCACACACTGGTTTTATAATCAAGAGCCATTTTATCCAGGCAAAGTACTGTGCTCTGATGCACTTCTAGGTTACTAAGAGGCCAGGAGGTGGGAGCCATCAGAAATAACAGTAAGTGGTTCTGTACCTGAATCTTTTGCTAACTATTGCTCCCTCCACTTCCCTATGTAATGCAGAGCTTTGTGACTGGTTTTGTGGCTTATGCCTCATTTAGAGCTCATCTTGACAAAGAAATTCTGTAAAACTGGCAGAATATTAGAGTCACTGTTACTGAAAAAAATTCAGTTAGCAGTAGTGAGTCATAATGGGCTAGGGAAAAAAAAGTCTCTGAAAGTACTTAAAGTGAATTCCACCCCCATTCTCTTATGCTGCTTTTCAAAATTAAGAAAGAAAATTAATTCCCTCAAATCCGTGTTCAAACTTCTAGAGTGAGGACTGGCATTTGATGTGTTCATTGTTGATTTGATTTATCCATGCATCAATGCAGCAGGTATTTGAGCACCTGCTCCTGGCCAGCAGTGTGCTAGGCTCTGGAATACTAAATACCACCCCCCCACGACACACACATACTGGTAAACAGGAGGGTGGACAGATGAATGAAGAAGGCATCCTAGGCCAAGGGAACTTGGGAATAGAGACACAGGGCACACAGGACAGCATAGCATTAGATAGCCATAGGCATGATCCTGGGCCTGTACTGTGTACTGTAGTGACCTTGATTCCTTTCTTCCTTCCTTCCTTGGTACCAGTGATTGAACCCAGGGGTAATTAACCACCGAGCCACATCTCCAGCCCTTTTTTATTTTTAATTTGAGACAGGGTCTTGCTAAGTTGCTTAGGGCCTTGCTAAGTTGCTTAGGCTAGCTTTGAACTTGCAATCCTCCTGTCTTAGCCTCCAGAGCCTCAATATTTCATTTTTTTTAATGAAACACCAAAGGATGTGGTATTTTTGTAAGGTGTAAAACATCGAGTTCAGTCCAATTAGGCATATATATATATATATATATATATATATATATATATATATATATATGATAATGATTTATATGCAGGGTTCCACAGTCAATGATGATACTGTCTGCTGCTAACCAGAAATGGTTAAATCATAAATACAGTGCTCTGTTCTGAGGGAAGGCTCCAGATATAGCTTTTTATGGCAACCCCCAAACCATATGCCTCCAGGAAGCAAGCCTTGCTGTGTGAAATGAATCTAAGCAATAGTGGCTTAGAAAAAGAAAAAAATATGTATTTTTAAAGTTGCCCTGTTTTTCTTTCTATTATTTATCTATTTATGTAATTATCTACACATATAAAGACAACCTGAGTTCAGTTCAGGCTCTGAATATTCAGACTATAACTTTACAACATCACAGCAATGGCATCTATTATATTTACTGCTGCATGTGCATACACACACATACACATACACCAGAATAAAAACAACAGAAATACAATACCCTTGAGCCTTTTAAATAATGGGACTGTATATAAACATACAGTTGATCATTGAAGTGATTCTTGCTAAAAGTCCCCAGATTTAAGGGTTCTACATTCTACTTATGAGTTGGCAAAAATACTATTCAAGCTTTTGGGATACAAAATGAAATGAAAATAAATTAGCCCTTTCAGTTAAATAACTAAAAAAAAAATCAAGAAATTTCTTTTCTGGAGTTTGTTTTCCCTTGTCCATGCCTAATTCTCTTTATATAGCTAAAATTAGAAGGGGTATTAGGCAGACAGAGAACGTAATTACTTGAGTTAAAGCTTAGCTTGAAGTTGCTGCCCTCACTTATTTTGCTTGCAAGAGAGTTTATTGAAGCCCTGGCCATAAATCTTAACTAGAAAGTTTGAGAAAATCAATATTTAATTAATTTTTAGGAGCAGAATTTATGGAGGACTCCTAGTTGTTTTCAAAAGCTCATGTCTGTCAATGAGATGGTTAATAAATGGTTAAAACTAGATAATCCCTGTGTTTTATTTTAAAGCTAAGAAAAAGAAGAGGGCACGTTATCAGAGTGATTGAATGGAAAAGAATCTCTCTCTTTTACAGGGATATGTCTGTGCAAGATGAAATCTTAGAATAAGAAGCAATGCTTAATTAGAAAAAGTATTATCTTCAATAAGATAAAATCCAGTTGCCTGGCATGGACAAAGGAGGAGCAGGGTGATCTCGAAGCCTCCTTGACCCTTCATACCTGACAGTTGGAGGCCTTTGACTAATTGTTGGTACCTACCTACCCTGTTGGCCCTTTGTTAGGGGCGAGGTCAGAAAGGTGTTGTTTGCAGATGAAAGCCTTGGCCCACGTATAGCTTCTTGCCTTAATTCACTAAGGCAAATGTGAGACCAATTTGGAACATTTCCCTGGATTTTACAAAAGGCCAAACCTTCCAGTAACCTTGCAGGACTGTCTGCATAAGAATCAGCCCAGGGAGCCTAATAGAATGCACATTCCCAGGTGTCAGTCTCAAAGGTTCTTTTTGGCAGATGTGGAGTGGGACCCAGAAAACTGCATTTTAAAGTACCTCACAGGTGATTCTGATGCAGGTGGACCACACCTTAGGAAACTCTGTGGAAGAGGCTAGGGTTAGATTTTGATGGTGTGGAGAAGGGAACTATATACAAAGGCCTGTGAACATCCATATCCTATCTGTCATTAAGAAGGTTCTTAGGGAGAAGCACCCACAAAGGACAATCGCTATGGGAATCATCCTACCACTTTAGGAAAAAAAAAAAAAAAACACTCCAGGAAGCTGTCCTAGATGGAGCAATGGCTCAGGCTCCTGTGGTAAAGGCATGGTATGTGGGGTCACACAGAACTGCCCTGAGCTAATCAGCTTCCTGCTAAATGCAGGGCATGGGGCAGAGCAGTAATGAAGATGCCCGTGTTTCAGGCATGGTAATGAGCCCACTAGAAGATCAGGGCTCAGTTAGCACATTGAGCTCTGATTAATTAGATTAGCAAACTTCCCTGCCTTTGGGTGGGTGAGTGGGGAAGAGGAGGGGGGGGGGCAAGCAGAAGCATAATTTCCATTTCTCTATGGGAAACTAGTAAAGATGAATTACACAAATTAAGATGCTAATGCACTCAGTTAATAAATATATTCTGTAGTAGTTGCTTGAGAGAAAATTAAATTCCATTTTGTATTGGTATTTTCCCCTTTAAACAGTTGTCGGAGAGAGAGAAGTAGAAAGGGAAAAAGAACACCTCACGTTTTGCTTTTTCAGCTTTCCTCTGAGATTCCTAAATCCTCGTTGAAGATTCTGTCACAATGGCTGATAAATATCTCCAGGATGATTTTGCTAGAGCCCTCATAGAGCACAAGCAGAGCAGCTGCTGCACTAGTTGAATAGGCTTCCCATGATATGCTTTTCTTAGATTAGAACTTTGGAAAATCAGTCAAATAAAAAGATTAGGCAAGCTTAGAATATCATCTAAAGAAAATCACTTGCTGTTATATTTTCCAATGAATTAAACCTGAAAGTATCCTTTGTGTCTGGAGTGGTCTGATTGTCTCTGGTGTGACAGCAGGAGCTGCTGTGTCATGGAGCATCTTGACAACTATGCGAGCTTTGAGGAATGGGAAGGGGGACACTGCTGCTCAGCAAGGTGCATCTCTTGGCCATTCTAACAGCTTCAGCCATGTAAACTGTACTGGCCTCAAACACAAGTCAGCATCCCTCATGAAGTACATTTGCTTAATGTGCCCTTGGAATTTGAGACTAACTTTTGCTTGACTTACACCCACATTGCTTTTGGTTTTCTTATCTAATTTTGATGGATGAGTTAAAAGAAATGCTTTGGTTAGCTGGGGAAGGGCCTTCTGCCTGAAACTCTTGCCCTTCTCTCCCAGGAGGAAGCTCATTAGGGCACCTTATCACACAGAATACCATCTTATCAGCAGGGACTGCCTATTAATTTCGCTTGACCTGTGATCAACTGTCTACCTTGGATAACACAGGCCGCCTTTCTGACCTTAGTGGCCCCACCTTATCTGCCTGAAATAAGGACTAGATAACCTTGCCAGTGTCCCTCTGAGGTCTGTGTCTGTAGTTGTATTGCATGTCTCACAGTAGGGACATTGTCTGCACCGTCCTCTGTGTCTGGAATCCTTCTTGGTCTGAGCTTCTCTGTCAACTTCTGTCCACTCTCCAAGACCAATGCACCTCTGCAAAGCCTCTTGACACCACTCCCAACTCTGCTTCTGATTTGCTCTCAAGACAAATGGCGACAGCAGTTCTTAACTTCCCTTCAAACCTGCTCTGAGTTTCCTTGAGGTTACTTATTATCTGGTATGTAATTGAAATTCCTCTGAACATTTTACAGCAGCCATGTAGTTCCCTGGGGAGGGGAATAGTGAGAAGTGGAGGACATAACTCTCCTATTAAGAATTTCAGAGACCAGGGAAGCAATAAGTCTCTACCTAACATTTATCATCTAACATTTTAAAATTATTCATATTGATTTCCAATCCTTACAGATTGCATGTGATCACATGAGTACAGACGGCTTGGCTACTGACTCCAGCTCTGCCAAGAAGCCCTGGTTGGTGTGTCTTGATGACAGGTTTGGCTTAGCTCATCAAATCCGCAGCAAGCAGTGCCGCCTCTATTCTTTAGGGTAAATACTTTTTTTTTTTAAATAGCAGAAGGAAATTTTCCTGCAGACATTTATGACTTTTTCAGCAACACAAAATTCTGACTCTGCAATGTATACAGGTGCTATGCTTTGCCATATGCCACTGTCTCAGACTGATCTGTTGTAAAATTGTGGGCATAGGCAAATTACCAGGGCCACTTTCTCTCCCATTTTGCTGGTAGTAAGCTGGCAGCATGAGGATGACCCTCTTAATGAAACCAATAGTTTCCAGTGAGAATTAGACTACCTTAAAGTATAAAGACAGAATATTAGTGAATATAGCTAGAAAAAGAGAGTATGTTAGAAATTTTATACACGGTTAAGAGAGACCCGAGATGAATAATGGGTACTGTTGGATTTTTATGTTTGGTTCCAATGAGTTAGTCAGCTTTTCATTGCTGTGACCAAAATACCTGACATAAACAACTTAAAGGAGGAAAAGTTCATCTTGGCTCATGGTTTCAGTCAGCTGGCTCCATTACTTACTTGGCACCTGAGTTGAGGCAGAACATCATGGTGGAAGGGCATGACAGAAGAAAGCCATTTGGATTATGGAGGCCAGGAAGTAGACAGTGGGTGGGAAAAGGGGACAGGAACAAGAAATATCCTTGCGGGGCACGCCCCCAGTGACCTTCCTCCAACCATGCCTTGTGGCCTCTAGTTTCCATGGTTTCCAAATAGTTCATTCAAATGACTAATCAATCACAGGAATTAATCCAATAATGAGGTCAGAGCACTCATAATCCAATCATGTCCTAAAAGCCCTACCTCCGAACATTACTTCATTGGGAACAGTAACATATGAGTCTTTGAGGGATCCAAACTATAACAACCAATGATAAATCTAAGTATAGTTTTATACATTTTAAAAAATAAAGGAGACTCTTATGAAAACTATGTAATTTTGTCAAAATAGAAAGATGGATGTTCAGTTATTCAGGTGGAAAGTGACCTATATGTACAAATGAATTTAGAGGTGTTTGGGGTTTTTTTTTTTGTGTGTGTGTTGTTGTTTGTTTTGTTACCAGGAATTGAACCCAAGGGTGCTTAACCACTGAGCCACACCTCCAGTCCTTTTTATTTCTGATTTTGAGACAGGATCTTGCTAAGTTGTTTAGGACCTCCGCTACATTGCTGAGGCTGGCTTTGAATTCATGATCTTCCTGCCTCAGCCTCCCAATGAATATGGTGAATGAAAAATGAATGAAAAGGAATGAATATGGTGTAGCACACCTGGGATTACAGGTGTGCACCACCATACCTGGCTAGAGAGCTTTTTGTAAATGCATGAACATAAAGAAATGAGGTTATTTCATCAAATATATCGGTATGTTTATAAATGGTTCTGAACTTACAAATAATGTGTCTCAAAAGAAAAAGCAGGAAGAAATTATTTCTGCTAAAACACCTTTTCCAAAAGACTCTTTGTTAGGAAATATATAGGTTCTCAGGCTAGACCATTGAAGTCCTTTTCAAAAAGTACTTGGGACACTAATATCACATGTCTGTTCCTCACTTCTGATTTTTATTACCTACCTCTATGGTGTACATTCAGATAACCAGAATCATAGGTGGTCAGGGTTAGGAACAGACAAAGGTAATGAGGAGGACTCTCCAAAGGTGCCGATGCAGAAAGGATCACAACTGCTATCAAATATAACAAACAAGAATTACTAGTCATGGTGGATTAAAAGAAGAAAAGATCCAGAAAGAATTTAGAGATATTGGATACATATGGGGTTAAATGAAGATATATTGGGGCTGGGGATGTGGCTCAAGTGGTAGCGCGCTTGCCTGGCATGCGTGGGGCCTTGGGTTCGATCCTCAGCACCACATACAAATAAAATAAAGATGTTGTGTCTGCCAAGAACTAAAAAATAAATATTGAAAAATTCTCTCTCTCTCTCTAAAAAAAAAAAAAAATGAAGATATACTGTAGGTGTCTATTGGTGGGGCTTGGCACACAGTAGGCACTCAATACATGTTTGCTATGTAAATGACAGCCCGAGGGGAGGAGGCTGGGGAGGGAAGCTCTTCGCTGAATTTGAAGGCTTGGTTTAGATGATGAGCTGCTGAGACAGATGGTTAGAATTGAGCTGTTTTCCTGAGAGTCCACTGGCTCAGCTTTAAGACTGTAGGAAGAATGGGAAGTTGTGACAGCAGAGTTTATTTTATGTCATATTAAAGATGTATGAAAGTAGGTCAAAAAATAATTGCATAGTACTGCATGCAAATTGGAAATCTCAGCTTGGTCCTGTTTTCTGCTCTGAAATGCCTTTATATTTTACTTAGTATTTTACTCTCTAGAATAATTTCATTTAAAGCATATCACTGAGTAAAATAAAACTTGAAAAGTTGTTTTTAGGGGAAAACATTAAATTTCTTTTTTCTTATATTTCAAAACTGTGGGATTAAGATGGATCTATAGTCAGGTTTCAGATTAGTACAGATAAAAAGGTAGTTTCTTACTTTTCTTTCAATTTTTACCATTCAAAATCAACTTTGTTAAGAGCAGATGAGGGCATTTGAACTCCACTGAGAAAAGGAATGAATAGACTAGAATGGTCAATATTTGATGGAAACCAAAGAAAATATTTTTGATGGCTGAAAAAGGATGCTGGGATCATGAGTGATAATGTTGATTGGCTTGTGACTTAGGATCAGGATCCAGAAAAGCACCTCCCGTTGAGGTGAATCACATGCTGGCGGCTCAAGCAGATAGCTGGCTGAGGACATCTCAACTGATGCTGAGAAGACCTGGACCCAAAGTGGTGGTCCCAAAATCAAGGGCGGTGGCAGGAAATGTGGGCTCTATCCCAGCATCTGGGAGTGTTGGGACAGTTGCATGATAGGTGAGGAGGACAGGTGGTGAGTCATGTGGCCCCTACCTATGGGGGCATGTGCTGCAAACCCCCGAGGTGAGGCAGCAAGAAGAACACGCCGTTGTGGGCCCAGTAATTCCCGGACAAACTGAAGATGCAGGGGTGACCTTCCTGGAAGGAGGACACAGCAGTCAGAAAACAAAGACCAGCAGCCCTACATCTGCCTTTCCTCCACCACAATAGCTAAAGCAGGTGTCCCCCCTACTGTCTCTCTGGTGGTGAATTTTCCTCACCAGGAGTTAAGATGTTTTATTCCAGAATTAATGTGAAGGACATTTTGTCCAGGGAACTTTGATGGTGTTCCATTGAAAGTTAAAATAGGATCCCTTTTTGGCTTTGACCAGTGAAGACAGGGGAAGGGAGTGAGAAGAAAGGTAAATATTATAGGAAAGGAAAAGAGAAGAGAAATAAGGAGAGGCTGTGGATGTGGAGGATAACGTTGTGCACCTGGAAACCTCAGGTGGCGTCTTCCCTGCAGGTCTTCACGTGTCCTTGGTGCAGGAGAGATTTCAGGCACCGGTGGGGAGGGCCGGGGAGGAGAGTAGATAAAGTGGGAAATATCACCTATTTTACTTTTCATGGCAAAGATTATATTTTAGGGGTAGAGCTGGATGTGAAAGGGAAAAACTGAGATAGCACGGGGGTGCACCATCTCTTCTTTAGTTCTGTGGTAGGTGGTAGTATTTGTTTGCAAGACATAAAATTCTTCGCATAAGACAGAAGATTTCGTAAGTGACACATGCTTAGGCAATAAGAGCCAATATTTTATGTAGAAAATCTGGCTCTTCCGGTTGCTGTGAGTGTTTCAAGAGTGAATGAGCTTCAGAGCCAAACATTTTTGTCTTACGGTAGTTTAATTAAGACAGCAGGAATGGTGTTAGCATAGTAAATGTGAAGGAGGAATCAGAAAATTGGGCACCCCAAATCTGTTTTTAGATCGTTTTCCCTAATCACCCTCCATGAACTTGCAAATCCATAGATGTACTGAATATCTGCCTATGCAAAATTATAATAGCTGTGCACTGTATGCAAAGAGAGGAAGATTCCCCCAGAATCCATTTCACCTCCTTAGAAGTGATGATGTCCTTATTGAGAATATGTTTCGGATAAAATCTTAGCGCTTGCTGCCATGTTATTTAACAAAAATAAATAATTACAAAATATTTCATACACTATTATGGGTCATTTATGCTTTGCAAAACCTATTTCTCCCCCATTTATAGTAGCATTGTGGAGATTAGGATAATCCTTTGGCCAGATTCTCTGGCTCCTATTGGGTTGGAGAACGAGTACTGAAAGCTCTGGGAAAATGGTAATTGCCTGACCTCTTTTAACCCCTCTTCCTTCAATGATGAGGGTTTAAAATTTTCCCTATATCGGCTCTGGGTTTCTGTTTTTTAACATTTAAACAGCTTTATGGAAATAGAATTCACATACTTAAAATGTATAATCCAATGATATTCTAGCCACTACAGAAAATTTTAGAACATTTCATTATCCCTCAAAAGAAGCCCTATACCTCAGAGCAGTTACTCCCAATCTCCCTGGCAGCCATCATCTCCTGAACCCTCAACCCTCAGTTTTAAACACTATTCTGTTTTCTGTCTCTGTAGATTCACCTATTCTAGACATTAATGTAAATAGAATCATAGGATATATGACCTTTAGTGACTGTTCTCTTTCACTTAGCATCATATTTTCAAAGTTCATCCACATTGTACCATGTGGATGTACTGACCTCCATTCCTTTTACATGTCTGAATAATACTCCATTGTATGGATATACCACCTTCTATTTATCCACTCATCAGCTGATGAACATTTGTTTTTTTCTGCTTTTTTGGTTATTATGAATATTGAGATGAACATTCATGTAGAAGTTTTTGAGTGGACATATTTTCATATCTTGGGTGTTTACCATTTTACATTCTCACCAGTGATCTATGAGGGTTCTATTTTCTCCACATCCTTGCCAACACCTATTATTTTATCTTATTGAACACAAAGGGGTATCTCACTGTGGTTTTGATTTGTATTTCCCTGCTGGCTAATGGTCTTGAGCATATCTGTTCAAGCTCTGAATTTTTAATTCCAAGGAATATAAAAGTCACTCACTTTAATGGTCTCAAGGATATTTTAAAAGAGTGACCAAGGACCTGACCCAGTGCCACAATCCATCCCTTTTACCCTTCAGTGGTATAAAATGGTAGGTGGTTGCTAGCACCAACCAAAGCTAGTTCAAAGAATACCCTGGTACAGCTTGTGAAAATATACCCCTCTCCCAAGAGCCTTACTGCCATCTGCCAGGAAATCATTACTGGGTCATTCTGAAGTGAATGGCACCTCCTAGCATTGTTTAGTACACAACCCACACAACCATGTCCAGGAATCCTTATTTATTTATTTTTGTTGTTGTTGTTGTTTGCTTGTTTGTTTCTGTGATATCAGAGAAGAATGGCCAAGGTGATTACCCTGATATTCTACATTACCATTGAAAATCAAGTTGCCTCCTTCCTATTTCTTCAATAGCTCTTAGGGTTTTTTTTTTTCCTCTTTAAGATATGTAGTATTAGTTTTTTAAACTTTTTTTTTTAAAGAGAGAGAGAGAGAGAGAGAGAGAGAGAGAGAGAGAGAGAGAGAGAACTTTTTAATATTTATTTATTTATTTATTTAGTTTTCAGTGGACACAACATCTTTATGTGGTGCTGAGGATTGAACCCAGCGCCCTGCGCTTGCCAGGCAAGCGCGCTACCGCTTGAGCCACATCCCCAGCCCAAACTTATTTTTTACATACATGACAATAGTGGAATGTATTACAAGCTCTTAGGTTTAATGGCCTTCTTTGCTGAAAAGTTTGTTGTGACCTCCAACTCCACCAGTAATGTATGCAGAATAATATTTATTATCATGAGTTATACAATTTTACCACCCCAATGGAAAGGAAAAGCTGCAGTCTTAATTCAAAGTATGTAGCAAATGCTGATTATCCCCCAGTATCTATTCTCTTGTTGTTCCTTTGGAAGCAGAACTCCCAAGGTCAGCAGGGCATGTGGCCACCCTGCAGATGGCTGCATTTCCTGCCTTCCTTAAAGCTCTAAGTGGCCATGTGTAGGTGTGAGCAATGGGATGTAAGTAGGAGTGATGATGTGTGCAACTTTTAGGCTGTAGCCTCAAGAGGAAAGATGTGACCGTGGCTTCCCCTTTACCTTTCCTAATAGCTGCAATACAGAAAAGATGGCAGAAAATGAAACAGCTGTCTTAGACTTTGAGATGGAAGCCACGTGATCTATACTTCTTGCTTCATGGAATATATGTTAAGTAAAATATTTGTATGAATTAAAAGGAACAGTGAATTATCTTTCCAGTTAAATAACAGCAGAAAATGGTTTTCTTATAGACTAAGAATACTTCTTTTTAAAAAATATTTTTAGTCATAGATGACATACTACCTTTATTTTATTTTATTTTTATGTGGTGCTGAAGATTGAACCCAGTGCTTCACATGCTAGGCATGTGCTCTACCACTGAGCTACAATCCCAGCCCCTAAGTACACTCTTTGCTACAAATAATAGTTGTTGCTTTATTATAGTTATTTGTTCAAAAATCTTTCTTCATTACTAATTTATCTGTTTGTCCCTTATGTTCAATATAGTGCCTTGCACATAAGAAGTACGCTTTAAATATTTTTATTTACATTATTGAGTCAGCAAAATGTAGCCCACCACATATACTATGTTTGGATATTGTGCTGTATATTCTGGCAATTTTAGAACATATCTAAAAGTCTTCTTTCACTCACGGCAGCATTCTGTAAGTCTGTGTAACATAATTTATCTACATAGCACTGGGGATTCAGAAATGAGCAAGCTTTTTTCTTCATGGAGCTTAACTGTCTAGTAACAGACAATTTTCTATACTCCTGAGGTTATAAATATTCCCTCCATGAACCTGTATCCTGTGCTCACCTGCTGTGATGTGGAGTATAGAGAGCACATGCCTTAGAACTATCAGATTGGATTTGACTCTTGGTTTTACTACTTTGGACTATATTTTGTGACACCTTTGTATATTCCATTTATTCTTCCTCTTGCTTTTATCTCTAGCACAAACTTGACTAATTTAAGCCTAAAAAAGTACCATTTCAAATAAATAAAAATAAAAATTATAGATGCCAATTAAGTGTTGTGTATTTCTTTTCAATACAAGTACATATTTATATTTTAAGATTAAATGGATTGAGTGAAAGTAACATAAGTTAATAAAAACTACAAATTATAAATAGTTTCATGTTATCTAATGTGTCATGCAAGATAGTTCCTCCACCATATATGTATGTGTTTTCTTATAATAATTTATAATAGAAGATACTTGTGTATGTGTAGAAAATTTCTGGAAAGATACACAAATAACTACTAATCATGTTAATCTATGGATTAACTAGTGGCTAAAATTTCTCATAGTAGAAAACTTACTTTTCACTTATGTATTTAGTGCCATTTGATTTTTTTCTATGTGTATTTGTTATTTTTTAACTATAGAAATTAGTTTAAATTGTAAATGATAATATCAATATATAATTTTTTGCCTTGCCAAAAAAAATTAGTTATAGTAGAGTATGTGACTTATTTAATGATTAAGATATTTTTAGGTCTTGATTTAAATCATATATACATATACATATGATTTGGTATATAAATATAAATATATTATATATGTGATTTATACTTATAAATTTTATACTTAAGTATAAATATTTATATATATTTTAGAGTATAAAATGTTTGCTTGAAAAAAAATTCTGAAAATTCAGAGGAAGAAAGTATGCATATTTTTACACTAGAGGGTTTATATGCAAATTGTATTTAACAAGTAAATTTTGACATAATTGCAGATACAAAACTGTCCTTTTATTAACGTACCTATGATAATACTGCTTTGCCCGTCTAAGACTCAACAAATTTAATGAGATGAAAAATCATTTGGGACAGACAACTTTTACAATATTCTCACCTATATGGAACCAAATCTGCTAAGGAAAAATGCTTTGTAGTTTTAGCTGAAACTCTTGGATTCATACTTAATGTCAGGCATATCAATTAGCTATTGCTGTGTAACACATCACTCTAAAACTCAGGGGCTTAAATATCACTGTTATTTATTACTGCTAATATGTCTTCAGGTCATCGGGCTTCAGCTGACCCAGGCTGGGCTCAATTGGGAGGATTTATTTCATGATGAAATGGGTAAGGGCAGTTCTGTTTTTTATGGAAGGCTGGGGGGCTAGCTGGGGTTGTCTGTGCTCCTCATAACTCATATTTTCTTGAGACCAGCTAGCTATCCAATGCAAATTTTTTTATCACTGTGATGATACCTGAAAGTAAACAGAAGCACTCAATTTCTAGGATCACAAATGGTTTACTGTTACTTCCTCCCATAAAGGAAGTCACATGACCAAGTAAAAAAAAATCAAGGTTCAGAAAGGATAGATGAGCATGGCCGTAGCATGGATGAGGGAGGGGTAAAGAACTAAGGCCAGCGAGTCAATCTGCCACCCCAGATTAGGTCATAGAAAGTATGGGAGGAAACTTGGGTAGAGTAACAGTGGTCTGAACTATGTGGATTCATAAGGAAATAGAAAATAGGGAGGATTGCACAGTAGAAGAAATGGGCATGTTTGAGAGGACTGTTGAATCTGTTTTTTTTTTTCAGCCAAAGAGAATTGAAAGAACTGTAATCGAGAGACATCAGAGAATCCTCTAATTCTTTGACACATCATGGATCCCAGTGGCAGTAGGGTGAAGGGGGAGGATGAGGCCAATAAGACTACTAAGAATGTCTAGTGGAGGATGTCTACATTGAAGGTTTATTAAGTAAAATCTGGAGAATAATTCTTACCCACGAACTTGTGTATTTCCAAATTAGGCAATAGTCTGAAATGGAATCTAGGAGAATAAAGTATTTCTGTACTGGATTCAGGTTTGGCCAATGTATTGTGGATACCCTGTGAATTTTTGCTGTCCTAAATCACATGTAATTATAGTATTTTGGGCAGAGAAGCCATAATCACGATTTTTTTAAAAATCACCCTTTCTGGCTTAATTTTATGCTTTTCATTCAAATCAGTGCTTTAATCAAAGTGATGATTCTTATGCCATTAAATAAGAAATATTTCTGAGTAAATTCAAATATTTGTCAGTATGTTGTAAGTACCCAATTGGTTACTTAATTCTAATTAATTCATGATTTCTTTTCTTTGTGGATGTGAATTGAGGTAAGGAAACACTTCTGCTTCTTGTGTCCTGGATGTAGTAGAACCACATATATTTGCCTTTTTCTTTAACCGTTTTAAAATACACACCATTTCTAAGAAAATTTCTAAGAAAACAGCTGTAGTCTTTAAGCCAAATTGCATACACAGCTCTTGGGTCATTAGAATGGAGACAAATTACCTCATTAGTAGAATGCAAATCTCCTCAAGGAACTAATATGGGGCCTATATTTTTGTCATATTCTGAGCAAAATCTCAAGATTAGTGAATATTCTTCTTTGTCTCATTGCTACTATGATTTACATCTTTTAAAAAAAATCACTCTGTTATGCTTCTACATGTTTAAGTACTTGATTTTCTGGTCTGTTTTGAGCAGATAATTTCTCTGTCTTTTATCCAGAGGCTTTGAGCTGTAATACTTTTTTTTTTCTTTTTGAAAGAAAGTTTATTTCATGTTTTCATTAGACACATATTTTTTAAAAAAAGAGAGAGAGAAGGTTTGATATGACTAAGAAAATTGGCCTTGGATCTGTCATTCTGGTAGTCTGACAGTTTGCTTTACTATATTTTGTTGTTGTTGTTAACTGGTTTCTACCCTCTTCCTCTCCAGGCTGGGAAGCGATGATACTCATTTTGAGGTGAGCATGGCCAACGAGGGATGTGAAGTGCATCGTTTTGATCCTAGTGTCAAATCAGCTCACATTCTGGAAAGTCAGCGCCTCTGGTATCACCGCTTGTCCATCGATTGGCGGGATCCCCATCCAGCTGTTGCTGCCCCAAAATTACATAGCAACACCAGAAAACTGGGAAGCATTTTGAATGAATTTGGACATCACAAGGTGAGGCGTTTCATTTGGTTTCATAGTTCAGTAAATTGAACAAACCCATAAACTCTTTTCCCTAAAAAATGCAAACCACGGATAACATCGAGATTGCCCAGTTGAAGGTCCAGTTTGAATCTTACTGATCACCCACCATTATTTATAGTCAGCTCCGTAGATAAAAAGTTTTGGCAAGGATAGAGATATTTAAATTGATTTGAAAATTTTAGTTGCTGTTGAGTAATGCTAAGATCTTGGCCAAGACTGGGCAAGAAGACTAAGAGATCTAATGCTCAGGCTGGAGTATATCTTTTCTGTTTAGGAATGGATTTAAAATTTCCAGAAAGACCAAACTATTTATGTTGCCCTCATATACAAAAATATAATCAGAGCCAGGCTTATGCTTATGTTTGATAAGAGATTACTCATGTATAGTATTTCTCACTATTATAACATGTTTCTCACTATTTTGAGCCTCCAGGCTCTTAGTATTCAGAAATCTGTGTAACTTTGATTAAAATTTGCTTTATGAAATTGAACAGACATTCTGTATGTGCTATTTATATAATTATGTCAAAGGATGTCAAATTTCTGCAAATACTTATTTGTGAATGGACAGCAAAAGAGAAACTCGATCTTTGAACTGTGTTCCTTGAAAGCAATTTCTAGCATGATATACCAGAGCTAATTGCAGTCCTAGGCTAATGCTCAAGAAGTTCTGAGTGCAGCTAGCTGGTGTTTGATCTCCAGCCCTTCTTAGATTTGGCCTGTCTTCGCCTATCCTTCCCAGTCAGAGATGCCATGTGATTTAGAACATGTCAAAATGATTGTCTATCTGAAAAACAGGATGGTGTGGGACTCAAATTTGAACTTCAGTTGGCTTCTTGATCTTTAGTAAAAGGGTTATTTCCCTGCTTCATTCTTTCTCCTTTTCTTTACAAAAAAAAAATCCCTTGAATTAGACAGCTGAAGCTTCTTTTCAGAACAACATCAAAGAACTTACTGTTCTTTTAACATGTGATTAACTATTGATTTGTATTTTCCTTTGCCACTGAGAGTAATTAGCATTTAATAGTCAGGAATCTTAATGAAACCTACATAGTACTTTTTGGGTAAAATCTCTGAACAGAATTTTTTTTTATTCACATGCTATGAATTGTTTAGTAAGTGTGAAAAGAAGCAGGAGCATTCTTTTCAGAATTTTATTTTTTGCCATTTCTTTGGCAAATGATTCTCTAATATGTCAACTCTAGATTATTCAAAGATCTAATACTTATTCTCTGTATTCAGTGAGGTGTCTCGCTGGTCCTCCTTCATCCCATTTATTTCCTGGCCTTCTCTTCCCTTACTCTTCAAGTAGACTGAAAAGAGAAAAGAGGTGAAATCCAATGCCATTTTGCATTTTTTTCATTGTTTTAGTAAATTATTTGCTAAAAGTGAGGATAGAATAAGGCTTTGAAAAAGTGATCTGTGGGATATAATTGATGTAACTACATTTCCAACCGAGAATGTGTTTTGGGATAACAAAGTACATACCTGAATTATGTTTGCTCAGCTCCCTGGGAGCTGCAGCAAGCAAAACCTTTATAATGGGGATAAAGTCTGAAGCCTTTTTGCAACACTGCCCCTGAGATAGCACAAGTATTTACAATAATACCCAAAAATGGGAAAAGGCTTTAAAGGATTGTTTATATTCCTAAGGTTACTCGTTTTTATTAAAAACATTAATAACATTGAGAGTGATCTGGCTCAGAATTGCCAGGTAAGAATTTGTCACTTTAAAAATGTCCCTCATTGAAGAAGAATTTAAGGAATACTTATCTTTTCTCATAGAGGGTGTGTGTGTGTGTGTGTGTGTGTGTGTGTGTGTGTTTGGTTGAAATGCTTCAAAACAAAACAACAAAAACTAAATTCCTTGGTGAGTGATTTCTTCCATCAGGACCTTGCTTCTAGGAACTATGCAGTGCCAGATAAAAGGAAACCTTGTTTGTGGCCTGTAGCAGGCCTGGTCTGTTTTCATACAGACATCAGTAAATAGGATGCGGCTGTGGCAGGAGAAGCAAATAGAATACTAAAAAACATCCTTGTGTTTGTCTTGCTTTCTTTACTCACTGATTCTGATAGTGACTCTAGAAACCAAAGCAATTAAAAAAAATTTTTTTTTCCTGCATAACTTTTTTTTTAATTTTTTATTGTTGGTTGTTCAAAACATTACATAGTTCTTGATATATCATATTTCACACTTTGATTCAAGTGGGTTATGAACTCCCATTTTTTCCTGCATAACTTTAAAATGTCTTGTCCGGTTTTGTAATAATTTCCACCTGGTTATTTTTCATCTTCTCTGGATCCAAACCTAGATCCTAGCCACTCAAGCAAAAAGAATGGCAAGATGTGGACAGAATGAAGGCAATAGTGACAGAAAGACACATGGGGCTTTTGTGTTGTTTTTAAAACTCTGCTAATTTTAACTTCAAACTATAAATCAAAAAAAAAAAAAAAAACACAAACAAACAAACAAAAAAAACTTTCTAGAGCATCAAGCAGGAGCAGCTGTATCAGCAAAACCATGCGGACCAGCAGCCCAGCCTGTCAGGAAATAATATCTCCTGGATCCAGCATTATTGAGAATGATTAACTGTCTACTCTGCTGAAGTGGTTGTTGCTGTTAACTGAACATATGAATTTTTCCAGAACGTATAGAAAGTTTCTGCTTGCATTAATCATACTGTATGCTTCCCCACAATGTTATTACATCTTCAGAGTTTCCTAAATGATCCGGGCTTGTTAATGAGAAATTACAACTATTACTATTATTTTCAGTCTTAACTACACTGCTGATAATATGAATAACAGGGCTGCCCCAGAGTTCACCTTTGTGAACCCATCCATCTCCATGTGAATCATGAATCTGCTTATTAGAGTCTGGCAATAGGCAAGTAATTTAACCTCTCTAACACTCAGTTTGATTGTCAGTAAAATGAGGACAATAATGCTGCCTAAAGTATGACTTGTTTGGAGAATTAGATCTGAGAACACAGTGTAAAAGTCTCCAGCAGAAAGCCTGGCACGGATTAATCGCTCATTTGTTTTCAGTAAATTCAAAGAATTGTTATCATCAAATTTGGTAACCTTTTGCTAAATTTTATAGAAAATCCTGTCTTCCCCCCCCCCCCCTTCTTTGTTTTCAGGGAAAATATAGCAGAGATTTCTCTGGAAATTGCTAACTGCACCTAATTCCTGTCGAGTTTTTAATGAAAGCTTTCTGTGAAACCAAAGGGCAATTGGTCCTTCAGACTTTCTTGTAAGAGAATTGTTAAGTGTTTGTGCCTGGGGCACCCAACAGCTTTGCTGGTGATTGTATAGAACGTAAATACTTTGCTGTATAGAAATTAAATAAGCTGCTGAGAATTAATTGGAATCTGTTCCACATGAGCAGATGTCAACCTCAGGGGCAGGGGCTCAGTGGTTAGACAACCTGGAAGAACTGGGCTTCCTGCTGGTCAGCAGGAAGGTTTCCTCCCTCCCTTACCCCTGTCACTACCCTACGGTGGCCCAGTGTCCCCTTGGGTCCTAAAAGAAGTGTTTCTACCTCCCTTGGCTGGGAGTTTGCCATTGATTTAAAACCATCAGCTTTGTTGTATGATTTCTGTGTTTGAGAGAGCATGGCTTCAAATTTAAACTATGAAAAGATCTTTTCTTTTTGTTTACCTAATTGACAAATAACAAATTATTGATACTGCCCTGTATTGGAATACTTTTGGGAATAATACTCAGGCTTTGCTACTGGAAATAGAACATGATATACTCTTTCAGGAAGGAAATTTGACCATATGTATATGCCACTTTTTATTTTTAGAAATCATTTTTTTTGCCTAAAATTCTGTTTTGTTTGCTGTTCATTCAGTGATATCCACTTTCTTTTGATCAGTATATGAAATAGCATTTTTGGGTTCCTTTATTTTCCTTCTTTTGAAAGAGTTTTAGTTTCTGTGTAGCTTATAAGGGCAAAATATTCAATGTAAGTCTGGAGTGTTTTAAAATCTAATCAGATAATCTCTGTCTTTAAACAGGTATCCTTAATTCATTTGAATTTATATTTATTATGATTACTGATATAGCTGGACTAATTTCTATTCTTTCAAATAAATTGGGCTTTTGGTTTTCTGTACTTTTTTTTCTCATCCTGTCAAAGCTTATAATTTTGTTCCTCTGGGTTATTTATTTATTTATTTTCAGTGCTGGGGATCAAATCCAAGGCTTTGTGAATGCTAGGCAAAGGCTCTACTCCTGTTACATTCCCCAGCCCTATCCTTACATTTTAAATGTATATATTAACTCTAAAATTTTAAAACAACATATTAAAACATTCATTCTTTCTATATTCCTCCTAACCATGACAAAAGATCCCCTGTGTTTTTATTTTCTGAAGTTTTACCATCCTTTTTTTGAAAATCATTTTACTTTGAGAAAAAAACCTTAAGTTACTAGAATAATACAAAGAACTTTCATATATTTTTCACTGAGATGCATCAGTTGTTAATATTTTGCCACATTTAGTCTCTCTCTTCAACAATTATGTTTATATTTAAAAAAAACACTCCATAAAAAGAAATGAATGAAAACTTCCATTGTAAATAAAACATATTTCTATGTATTGTTATTGGTGATATATTTGGACTAACTGCTTCTTAACTTTGTTATTTCTCGAACTAGAGACGGCATCATGATGAATGTAGAAACAGTGGATATATCCTTGTGGAAGTCAGGGAAGAATAGGATGTCTGGTGGCATTATACCAGACCTTAAACTATACTACAGAGCAATAGTAACAAAAACAGCATGGAAATTGGCACCAACATAGGCAGGCTGGTAGACCAATGGTATAGAATAGAGGACACAGAGTCTAATCCACATAACTACAGTTATCTTATATTAGACAAAGGCACCAAAAACGTACATTATTGAAAAGATAGCCTCTTCAACAAATGGTGCTGGGAAAACTGGAAATCCACATG